CTCTGTGTCTTACTCTCTTTCTCTCTCTTGCTCTCTTTGTCTCTCTTTTAATCTCCCTCTCTCTTTTTCTCTCTCCTTCTCTCTTTCTCTCTCTCTGTCTTTCTCTCTCTCTCTTTCTCTGTCTGTGTCTTTCTCTCTCTCTCTCTTTTTCTCTCTCTGTGTCTTTCTCTCTTTCTCTCTCTTTCTCTCTTTGTCTCTCTTTTAATCTCCCTCTCTCTTTTTCTCTCTCCTTCTCTCTTTCTCTCTCTCTGTCTTTCTCTCTCTCTCTTTCTCTGTCTGTGTCTTTCTCTCTCTCTCTCTTTTTCTCTCTCTGTGTCTTTCTCTCTTTCTCTCTCTTTCTCTCTTTGTCTCTCTTTTAATCTCCCTCTCTCTTTTTCTCTCTCCTTCTCTCTTTCTCTCTCTCTGTCTTTCTCTCTCCTTTTCTCTCTGTATCTTTCTCTTTTTTCTTTCTCTGTCTCTCCCTCTTTCACTCTCCCTCTCTCTCTTTCTCTCTCCCTCTCTCTTTCTCTTTCTGTCTTTCTCTCTGTCTCTCACTTTCTCCCTCTGTCTTTCTCTGTCTCTCTTACCCCCTCTCTCTGTCTTTCTCTTTCTCTATCTTTCTCTCTATCTTCCTCTTTCTCCCTCTCTTTCTCTCTCCCTCTCTCTTTCTCTCTTTCTCTTTTTTGTCTCTCTTTTTTTCTCTCTCTCTTTCTCTCTCTTTCTGTCTGTCTTTCGCTCTCTTTTTTCTCTCTGTCTCTCTTTCTTTCTCTCTCTCTCTCTCTCTCTCTCTCTCTTTCTCCCTCTCTCTCTCACACCCACACACACCTGCAGGAAGTGTCGACAAAGTTAATTGGATGACCAGTATTGTGTGATCAAAGCACCCCTTTACAGATAGTTCCCGACTTACAACAACAGTTCATTTCATGACTGTTTGAAGTTACAAGCGGAACCGGAAAAAGCGATGACCGTTTTTCACACTTACGACCGACGACGTTCTGTTCTGATTTACATTCAGATGCTTGACAACCGATTCATACTGATGACGGTTGCAGCCTCCCAGGGTCACACACACACACACACGTCTCCTCCTCTCTTTTCTTCCTCTAGCTCTTCTTTTTCTTTTCCCTTTCAACTTTTCCTATTCCGAGAAAGGATGGGGGAAATTGGAGGAGGAGATTTTGCAGCCTGATATTTTTGAATTCAGAGGCAAAATGCAGAAATTGGACACGAGAGCTGCAAACGAATATGTACAAAAACCTACGGAGGCAGGAGAGAAGGAAGGGGGGAAGGAAGGAGGAAAGGAAGGGGGAAAGAAAGGAGAGAAGGAGAGAAGGAAGGAAGGAAGGCGGGAAGGAGGGAATGAGGGAAGGAGGGAAGGGGGAAGGAGGGAGGGAAGGAGGGAGGGAAGGAAGG